TATAAATACACCCCTTACACGCCCCAAACCCCTACGCCTCACACCACATTCACGTAACCTCCTCCCCACTCTCTCACGTCTCTCTCTCGCGTCTCACTCTCCCCGATCGGAACAGAGCAGAAGGACGAACGCAAGGAGAAGAAGAGAAGAAGGAGAAGAAGAGAAGAAGAGAAGAAAGAAGAAGAGTCCGACGCCGTCGTTCGTGAGTACCATATTGTAGTTTAAGCATCGAATTCAAGGTGAGAACGTGGTCATCTAACATATGGATTATATTCGTAGGTTTGAATCTTACGTTCATGGAATCATTACGGTTGATTTATGTGGATTATACGTGAATTAGGTTTTGTGTTTGTTGTTTATGGTTGGGAGGACATGGGTTGTGTTAGGATGATTGAAGATAAGTTATGGAATGCTAGGTTAATGTTTTATGAACTGTTATGCTTGTAATCAATGGCGCGGTTGCTGCAAAAGGGACGGAAACGGAACTGGTGCAGGGCTAATGTTCACCGCGACAGACGGTAGGGAGGTACCGTTGACACGGTACCTGGCTACCGCCAACCTCCCCGGCTTCGTTCCGTTTCTGGCGGCACCCACCTGGGACGGTACCCGAGTGCCGGTTGACGGTAGACCCTACCGTCAGGGGCTACCGTGGCGGGCTACCGGAGGAATCCCAACTGACACGGACGGTACCCCCGTACCGTGGGGACGGTACCCTGGTGCCGTGGGGTCGGTAACCCCTACCGCCAAGGGGTACCGTGATGTACCTGAACTGGTCTGCGTTTTGTTGTTTGCGTCGAGGATTGATTCCGAGACCTTGTGTGTTGCATGACGGTAAACGAGGGTAGCGATACCCAGTGTTAGGCCGCTAATTGAGTGAATTAGATGTGATGGATCATGTGTAAAATGTATGGACATGTATGGTTGTAACTAATGACGATTTAGGCATGATATACCTAGAACAACCTAGGATCTGACCTGAAGAGGAATAATGGCAAGATTTGTCTTAAGTATAGCGGTTAGAGCCATGTGGTACCTGCTGGGTCCAATGGTTGTCCGGGTAAAAACGCGTACACGGGGATCTAAGAACTGTCGTTCCGAAGGGGACAGGGATCTCACCCACCCAACGAGGAACTCCCGAGTTGGTTGAGCTTGACCTTCGTTCCGAAGGGGAAGGTCATGACTCCATAGGCAAGTTGTAATCAATTGAGCTTTTACCTAGTCTAGGTTAAGAGCCGAGTACCGAAAGAGCAAAGGGCAGAGGAAAATGGAGAAGTTATCATTGTATCCTTGTGATCTGTTATTCTTTAATGTTGATATTTATTACAACTGTTATATTCTGCATGTGGTGTGAATATGATGAGCATGTTGTGTGCATGATATCGTATGGTGATATGGGCTAGTGGGATCGCCTATGGGTATAGTTGTATGTTAGATATATCTCACTTAGCTTCAATGCTGAGCGTGTAGCCTTTTTCCTGTTTGCTACACGTAGGTAATCCAGGAAATGATGAGCTTGGAGCCAATCCCGGAGGGCGATGAGGAGGCTGAGATGTGCGTGGCAGTGTCCGACGATTTTGAATTCTTATTTATTTCTTGAATTAACTTATTACTATTTCGGACATGATTCCCAAGTTGTGTTTTGGATTATGAATTTAGCTTCCGCAACTGTTTGGATTTACTCTGATGGATAATTAAATACTATTTGAATTAAATGTTTTAAATTGTTTTGGAAAATTAATGCGTATGACTACCAATTTAGTAGCAACCCGGTTCGCTAATCCAATTATTCGGGTCATGCGGGTCGGGGTGTTACATTACCTGGGTGTGGGAGTAGGAACCATCATCATCGGAATGGAGCACCGTAGGGAACTGAATTAAATCTCGTGTCATCTGGAGTCATTCAAAGTGAGTGGATGTAGAACCCTTTCACATTATTATTATTATTTTAATTATTATTATTATTGTTATTATTATTATTATTATTATTATTCATATGATTATTACTATTATGATTATTATTATCAAAACATATGTGACATCTTGACCAACAAGACTCCGATACCATATCAGAGAACCAACTAGACCAAAAGCTCAAACTTGTTATTGTGACCCAAAAAAGTTTTTATATAAAATATTTGAGTAAATTCCATAATTGGTCCTTCATAACAGAGGTGTTTCCCTATTTAGTCCTCTATTATCAAATATTATCCCAGTAGTCCTTCATTTATGGGTATCTTTCCACAAATAGTCCTTTTTTTTATCTTCAATCATGTTTGTGTTAATTTGAGGGCTAAAAGTGTAATTTCACAATGATAATATATCTTTTTTGTCATACACAATTCCAGAGGTTGTTCCATTTCCGTCGTTTGTGAATTACAGTCGTTTTCTACTACAACCATAGTCTACAAATGTGGTGTTTCGTCTGAATTCTAGTCCACAATCAGAGTTATTATTTTTGTGTTATTCGCTTAACCAATATCAGAACACGTCATTAGACATAATGTTGATGTCAAATTATGCTTTTAGCCTTTAAATTAACAACAACTTGGCAGAATATCAAAAAAAAGACCATTTGTAGAAAGACACTCTTAAAAAAAAACTACAGGGTTAATATTTGATAATAAGGGACTAAATATGGAAACCCCCCTGTTATAATGGACCAATTATGGAATTTACTCAAAATATTTCTATGAGTTTTGGAGGTTGTATTAAAAAGTGAAAGTAAAAAATCTATAGAGAGATCACATAAGTATTACACACACATGTACGTACATATGTGGGGTATTTCATCAACAACTTGTATCACTTACTTAGAACCTGTTCTTCAGGACTGGGAAAAAGAGCCGGATGTTGGAAGAAACTGAAAGAAACTAGAAAAACTTCAAAAAAGTAGAAACCCTAAAAAAACTTTAAAAAATTTATTTTAGTGTATTTTTATATTATTCTCATTCTAATTCTTCCTGTTATATATTATTATTATTATTATTATTATTATTATTATTATTATTATTATTATTATTATTATTATTATTATGATCATCATCATCATCATCATCACCACGTTATCTTAATGAATGTCTTTAAGATAGAAAAATATTGTTATTTTTCATACACACAAAAAAACTACTTTTACAAAAAATAACAATTATAATATAAAGTTAGCATAAATATTAAAATGATAAATTTTAAAAAGTTAATGTGGTTACGTTGCACCTCAAATTTTTATGTAATATTTATTATAAAATATTATATTTGTAATTATACTTTATATAATGTAATCAAAATAATTTTTCTTTCATGATTTTCATTTTATTTTCATTGTAACTCCTATTTTTGGAATAAATACATAAAACTTTAACTTTTGTACATTTTTTTATGTTTTACTCATATTTTAGTCTTTTTCTCTAAACTATTTTAACTTTCAAATTTTTTTATAAAAATTATAAAAATAAAAAAACAAAATTAAATTTTGAAATAAATAAAATGAGAAAAAATTGAGTAGTTAAGGAAAAAGTGAGGGGTCTTATATAAAGTTAGATTAACAAAACATTCTATGTAACTATTTTATCCATAGTTTTTAAATATAGTTTAAAATATTTATTTTTTCTATTTTATCATGTAGATTAATATACAAAAAAATTATCATGTTCATATTAAAAGGTTGAATAAATAATAATAATGAGTATGAATTATAAAAATAGTGATATGAAAAAAATAATTTATAAACTATAGTTATGAACATTGTTGTAGTAGTAGCAGTAATAATAATAATAATAATAATAATAATAATAATAATAATAATAATAATAATAATAATAATAATAATAATAATAATAATAATAATATAAATAATAATAATAATAATCACATTAAAAATATATCGTTTTTAGAGTAATTGGTTTGAGAAGTAGAAAGAGTTTGAAGAAAATGAGAATAGTTGGAAGAAACTAGAAGGAACTGGATGATACTGGAAGAAATGGAAGAAACTAGAAGAAACTAAAAGAAATTAAACTGGAAGTTAAGAGTTTAAGCCATAAAGAACAAGTTCTTAGACCTTTCATATGCGTGGGGAGGATGAGCTCATTTAATATCCTTTATGAATGACTACAACTCTTATTATTTAACACTTTCATTAATCTAATTTATAGCTTTTGATGGTTTAAATTTGACTGGTTATGTTTGACCGAGACTGACTCAGTCGAATCAGACTTTAACAAGGTGAAGTAAACACAAAGGAAAGTACGAATACAGTGAGAATGATCTAGACAAGAAAAGAATTCCTGTGTTTGAATTTATATTTCTTACCCTGTCTCAAAAGTGTACAAGTTTGTAAAAGAATGAATGACTCCCCCTCCTCCCTCTTTCACAACCTATTTATATATAGTGGAGTAGGTTAAATAAGGCAACTAGCTAGGTACTACTCACGCATGGGCCTTGCGCTAATCAACACCCATACATGGAAACAACTCCTTGACCCATCACTCATTAATTTGGTCATTCATGAGTGTCAATCTAGTCATCAATCAAGCCATCCAATCAGGATGATTGAGTGAGGAGGGTCCAACCAAGCTCATCCGAAGAGTGTCTTCTGGATTATCTCTCCTTTGCAAGTCGGGTTCATGCCAATATGACCATGCTAAAAATATGACCAGTCACTTCTCGCAAATTATAGTTAATCAAAATATAATATTTCTGTCTCATCACTCTACCTACATTTTTCATTAGTAACGTAACGATAATCCGAAATGTAGGATGATTTCACATAATATCGCAATGTAGAATTGTTTTTGGTACTTCTGCCTCCATTGCCCCTTCCCTTTAAGTTTTATCAAGGTGGAGTCTTCAAGAGACTTTGGTTTGGGAGAATGTCACATTGTAAACTTGCCAGATAAACATCTTCACATTTGTCAACAGTTGGGTACTCCATAGTTTTGGCCAATAGTCATTATGAAACCAATTGATAGCTCTCAAAAAAAAACTTTTTTCTATAAAAAAATCTCATATTCCCAAGTTTCTAATCCACAAATAACACACTGAATATGTGCACAACACTTATTTGAAACCAAATAAAACGGAAACATAACTTCACCAACAACACAAGAGATGCTGGGGGGATGTATACCGATATATATATATATATATATATACACAAAAGTTATGGCCAAACCCGACCAGTGGTTGTTGAGTAGGGCGGGCACCGGGCACCCCTGAAAATAAGCTGCCCAAATTGTATATGCTCAAGTCCATTGTCGTCCGTTCTGTCATTCCGGGCAAGCATCTTTTGCTTCAGCAGAATGGCTTGGCATGGCCTGTGAGAGGACGCCGCCAAGGATAAGACTGTAGGAAGGCACCAGCAGTTATTTACCTGGAGCCCGAAACCAAGTTCTTGAGGGATGTCAAGGGGGAGTTGTATCCATAAACCAGCATATCTTTCCAGAAGGCCATAACTGTAAATTTTTTTGAAAGTATTAGTACTAAGAAGTGTGACATTTTTATTTTCTTCTTTTGGAAGAAATAAAATAAAGTCGAACTGTAAGAAAGGCATACTTATCCATGCTATGAACCCCGTTGTAGCTGACAAGAAAAACTCCCTGCGAATGACTTCAAAACTGGAGGGGAAAAAAAACTCATTCAGTAAAAATTGTGGAGGAGAGAGTTTAAACCCATTAATGTGTACTCATGGTACCTGTACAAGCAAAAAAGATTTCCCCATCCATAAAATATGCACGCCCAACTTGAACCAGTGAACCTGTCATTTACCTCAAATTTTAAAGCATGACAATTTTTTACAGCAGAAAAGCAAAGAAAGAAAAAAAAGAGAAGCGCATTTGGTATGTCCTTGCAATTTTACCTCTCACCAGTAATTAACTCAATTAGTTCTTGCTACAGATTTTTTGTTCTTACATAGGTTGTTAGATAGTAGCCAGATTGTTGCAAACATTGGCGTCAGACAAACATCAGCACTAAATTTCATTAAAAGGACATCTGGAAAGCCGAAATGTATGAAAAGAAGGGCCAAAATCATCTATATGACAAAATCATCCACACCTATGATGCACGATAAGAAGCAATGTTTCCATATGAATGAAACCTCTACGAAACTCTAATGCAAATATTATGGGTAGTTTTCCAAAAAAAAAAATGGTGTCCCGGACTCCCGGTTACTTGCATTTCCGTGTATGTGGCTATGTGCAACATAGAACTACACAAACAAGTAACTATGGTAGGACCTAGAACGTTGATTCTACTTCGCAACTCATAACAGAGTGCAACTTTTAGGTAGGAAAGTGTTCACAATTTCTTCATCATCGTCACCTTAATCCCAACTGGTTGGGGTTGGTACCATGAAATTCAGTGCGACATAATCATTTTTATCAAAGTGTGAAATAGTCATGTTAGTAAATGTTATAGACACACAAAAACATAGACACAAAGCTTTTCGCTAGATGTCCTCCCTGTAACAACCTTCTTACTTGGAAATAATGAGACAAAATTAAAAAATTTTCATCACCACAGGTTATTTCCACAGCAAGAAAGCCATACATTAGCTACGCATATGAATGTGACTGCATACATGAAACAGATGCCAAACAAAAAATAGACCCTATAACTATGAGATCAATGTTATAACACTTCAGGAATGGGTGAAACACTTGACAGAGTAGAGCTCCATTGCTGACATTTTTCACTCAAGCTTTGGTTTCATGAGATATGCAAAACTCATACTAACTAACAATCAACCCACATACATAAACTTTAGCTAAACATAATGTGAATATATTCGAACTTGGAAGGTATGCTATGCTTATCAAGGAGCACCACTGAAATCAACTCTAATGGTAGAACAGATAAACAGGTTCTGGAGAATCAAAAAATGACAATGAACATAACTATTCCATCAGCATTACTCTTGTTGATATCACATTCCTATTAGGCAGAGATCTACTTTAGAAAACAACATTAAGAGTTAATTATGTGTGTGTACCACATGAAATCCCGAGTGAGGAGTGCCCGAGGAATCATTAGTCCATTACCAATCATGGCCAGCAACATTGAGACAGCCGATAATCCTTTAATGTTATCAGGATTAAGGAGATTTGTCCACTGCACAGGAAGCAATAGTCAAAATTACTTGAAGTTTTATTTAAAATTTAACTTTGACTACACGAAACTTACCATTTGTGCAACTGGCATCCACATGAAAAGAAGTGTTGCAGTCCATGCAGAAAGTAATGCAACAAACTCCACACCTTTCTCTGGCAGCTTACCCATCCGAGCCTGTCAATGTAAATAAAATAAATTCAAAGAAGCCTTCATGATGAATATCCACTCTCCTTAGATTATACACTTAATTCAAGAAAGATGCTCTGTAATTTCAGGCCTATACACTCAAATTATCACAATCAACTTTACAGATAGGGGGTGTTAGAGCAAAACCAAGGGGGCTGATTATGTGAATTTTATTCTGTTAGCTTTCCACAAAAAGAGAACTATGCCAGAGATATGTTCAACATATATCCAACACAGGACTAGGTCATTTAGGACACAACTCATGTTAACAGCAATTTAAACACCGTCTTCAAGAGTGTCAATTGCCAATTGACAATGTCTAGGTTCGGGTAAATAATAGACTAAATAAAAATTGCACATTATTCTTCCTTTGCTTCTTTCTTTCTATGAAGTTTGAAGAAGTGAATGCAGCAATGCACCAAGGGTCAAACGGATGCAACCTCTCTGTAGGGGTAAGGTTGCATACATCTTGACTCCGACATTTCAAAATAGTTAGATAGCTTCAACATACACCTCAAGAAACATGTTAGGAAAAAGATTGGTTCGCTTAAGCACGATGCCACAACCTCACCAAGAAGTTATGTCATGACATGCACCAAAATTGGTCCAAGCAGATGCGGAGGCAATGAAGACCTTACTGGTTTCTAGCACTCCCCATCTTTGATAGGCAAGCCTATGCCCAACCTAAGGGTCAAAAGTAGCTCATACGTTTGTACAACCCCCCCCCCCCCCCACAACATCACTGAATGCCAAGCACATCCCACTAAAAAGTTGTGTGTCTACACACGAATTTAAGGGATATCACTTCCACAAACTCAAAATGTGAAGAAAAGAAATGAGGCAACGATGTCTATCCTCCATCAATCCAGAACATGGAAATTGGAAAATGGAAGCCATCACAAAAATGAGACCTGTGTCAACTGTGTCATTATCTCTTCTGTCACGACTTCACGAGTAAGATAGATACACCACATTCTAAACTTCAATTAACGAAAGCACACTACTTCCCACATTTGGGGGTGAATTGTTTGCTATTTTGACTATCAGTCATGATATTCATGGAAAATAAGAAATGCAAGGAGGGTATGATCTCCTCATTCTAAACTTATCAGCATAAAGTCATTAATGATTACCATAAGCACAACTGTCACTGCAACTACAAAAGATATTCCACCCGGCAAGATTGTGTTTGGAACCAATGGGAGGAAGGTTGACCACATGACCTGTACATAGTCACTCACAGTTGAAGGAAGACAAGTCATAAAAATGTAGTAGGTCAGATGTGTAAAAAATGAGACTCGATGAATTACTTGTGGAAGTACGGAGAGACCTGCAATGGTTATAAAGTCTTCCCAATAGTGCCATATTCCAGGGTTCAGCAAGTGAAAGTAATCCATAGAATTTATAATAAGACCGCAAGCAACAATGAATGATGTGGCTACAAAATGAGGAAAAGGCATAGCTCCAGCCACAGCAAGCTGTGAGATCACTACATAACTTGACACAACTCCTAATGCCTGCACCACTGCCGCTTCCTTTTCCCTCTTCTTTATGAAGTATGATAGTAAAGACAAATTCCCTAGCAATCCAGTGAGCATCCCCTGTAGCACTATTATCATCAGCCTTACACAAATCCCACCTTTTCTTATACGTAAAGGGTTATGAATATGATGATGACTGGAGAGAGTATTACCAGCCAGGGAACAGCAAACAGAGCAGAATTATTCCTTGCAATAATATTACGAGCATTTAGTATGATTTGAGGAAGTTGCAACACTAAAAATGGTACATTTGCAGCTCCGGCAAACTTTGCGGTTAATGAATCCCACTGCTTAAATTTATCACTATTTTGCAAGTCATGCGATCCCTGCATTTGTCATCACTGGTTAAATCATTATTAATATGATGCAATGACACTTGATTGGTTCATAAAATGCAAGATAAAGTACAAATATAATGACGAAGAAAGTGATTATTCATTTCCCATTTTAGGTGTCAAAAATGGTATTGGCATTTAGGATTTAGTACCTATAGGTTACAAAGTGAGTCTAACAGTTTTTTTAAGGAAGTTAAAAACAGATTTAGTCCTTCAATATAGTGGCACATCCAGATTTAGACGTCAACCGATATTTTTACTACATTTTGCCCATGGGATCAATGATAGCTCCAGATCTAATCTTTCATTATCAAGTCTGTCTCATTTCAATGAAATCTAAGTCCTATAAGGTATTTTACCATCTTCTAATGTATTTCGTGGTTTACCAATTAATTTATTTTAACAGCTATGAAACTAATTTCATTGCGCTTCTACAATACCGAATGTGTTGCCTGAACTTGGCTGCTAGATCAACACCGGCACACTGCTGATTGAGAAACACAATTTCAAGTTTTGAACCATTCCACCATTGACGAAATCAAAAATCAACTATTGACACTCAGACTCCATGAGACCTAGACACAGTAGATAACTAAATACTAAAACATACAACTGTTGTCAAAGCTGAGTTGAAAACAAAAGGTGACATAATACCTGGTCAATGTACCCAGGTACATCCGGATCACCCGCAGCAACGGGTCTGAGCTTTTGAGGACAAGCCAAAGGGCCGAAGAGCAGAAAGCTCTTAAAATTAGTCCTATCACTGATTCGTCGAGTATATGGGCGAAGAAGATGGATTTGCAGAGGATGCTGGAGAGGATAACTCGAGATGCGGCATTTGGAAGATCTGTGACTGCATAAGGTCGTCACAGGCAAGGGCACCAATGAAGACGCCATTGAAGAACTCTGTAGAGGGGATTTTGGTTGCTAAATCTGATAGAAAGTGAAGGACTTGGAATTGATTTAGGGGTGATTTGAGTTTGATTCCTGATAGAATCTACGGAGTAGTATTTTACAGAATCAGTTGGTCCCGTCTTCATATGGTCCTAAGAATCAATGAATAAAAATTAGGAACTAGTAACGTGGCAACACTGAAAAACTTAAGAGTTTACTACGTATATTTTAATCACATAAATTATGAATAGTATTTTAGACAAAAAAATACTTTTAAAAGCTAATACTCCATCCGTCTCACAAAAAAGTTCCCATTTTGACCATAAATTGGTCAAATTGTTGCACACTTTGACCTTAAATTAAATATAATCTAAATAAAGAAATGCTAAAAAAAATAGAGATATCAAAACTAAATCCTAAGATGAATCCAATTATATAAAATGTATTTCATAATTCAATATACATTTCTCACAATTTGTAGTCAAAGCGTGTAAATATTTGACTAAATACTATTCAAAATGGGAACTTTTTTTGTGGGATGGAGGGATTGTAACTAGGGGTGTGAGGAAGTAACTAGGGTTAAAGAAATTTGGGTAATCTCAAAGTAAATTCAAACCGGAGGAGAGGGTGTGGGGAACTTACCTCGTGGGAGAGATGCAGGGGCGCCGAGATGGAAGACGTCGCCGGCCGGTGCTTTGATTGCAGAGAAGAGTGGAACCGGCGGAAGAGAGATAAAGACGGGAGAAGCAGAGACAGAGGGGCTCCGTTAATTTTAGGTGAAATAGATCTAAAAAATGATGGATAAATCCAAGGGCAGAGATTAAAATTGTCATCCCATGACATTTAACTTAAATGTCAGTTGAACGGCGGGCTAGACGCATAGACATACAAATAATAATTATTGATTACTCCGTATTATGGATGTAGCATTGATAATTATTTTTTGTATGTATATGCGCGAAATATGAAATCAATGATGATGTCAAAATTTTGATTTGAAATATAACTTCTTTTTTATTGTACCGATAATTTATTGTGCGGTGCAAGGTTTTGATTTGAAACATGAATTTGAATCGAAACTTAATTAGACTGAATAAGGTTCCAGTTTGAAACGGGAATTGAAAACGAAACAAAATATTTGGTCACAAAACCAGTAGTTCTTCTGGTTCTTGTTGTTTTTCCTTTTTTTCTATGTTTGCAAACAAATACTCCCTCCATCTAAGAATATCTTTCTAATTTGACTTTTTTGAATTAAATCGATTGAACTTTAATCAGCTACTTTGATTGACACAATTTAATTTCCCATAATTTTAAAAAATATTAAATATAAAATTTGAGTGGTTAAAATTTATTCAAAAGAAAGATAAAATTATAGACCACATATCTTATGCGTCGCACTTTATTAGAAAATTAAAAATTCTGACACCTATTTTGGGACAAATAAAATGGGAGATAATTATTTTCGGGATAAAAAGCATTTATTTTTTTAATTTCTATTAGAAAAAAATCTTACTGGATTGTCCTTGTTGTTGTACGTACAAAAATCCTTTTTCCCCTTCACCCTAAATAAATTGTTCCATTACAATTAACGAGATTTGACTAAGTTTATTTTCAATCAAATTTTTAAAATAATACTCTGTATTGCAAAATTTCAAAATAAAATTTATATTTTTAAAAAACTAGAGAGTATATCAAATTCTTTATATAACATGAAGTAACATGATTATGTTGTCAACTTAATATGTATAGTAGAAAGAAAAAGTAAGACCATTAATTTAGGGCTCATTTGATAACAACATTAGCGTTTAGCTTTAAAGTTTTGAAATTAGTAGGCAAATAAAGAATGACCGGAGAACTGTAGGTAGAAATACATGTAGTCTAATTGTTATTAAGTATGCAGGAGAATGCTGGGAGCTATTACAATATGAACTTTGGAGAGATAAAATTTGGATCCCTTCATTTGAGGGTTACACAAGTATTTATAAGGAAAAAGAGTGGACAAAGCGCCGCACGTTCACATCGACGCACGTTACATTCTCAGATGACGCGAGGTGGCTTTCTTTTGTCCCGTAGTATTTTGTCTCATTCCATTGTCATCTTGTGCTGATGACTCCTCCTATGGCGCGTAGTGCCCAGCTGAGATTGAGGGAATATTTTCTCAATCTTTCATTGAACATCGATCACTACCGTCCAAATGACATTGGAGTTATCCGGGCCGACACTTTTACAACGTAGTAATCCACCCCGAGTAGGCTCGTGGATTCCATTTTGAAAAACACTTACTTAGTATTTTTCAGTTTAGAAAAAATACTTAATTATAAATGAGCATTTCAAGAATATACTTTGAGTCTAGATGGTAGAAATACAAAAATATATTTGATTTGACTGACATTTAATAGACATTTTTGATAGAGGACCATTTAAGAATAAATCTAAATTATAAAGGATTACGAAAGTAATTATTGTTTAGTGAGGGCTAATTTAGAAAAACATCTTATTAGAAAGGACTATTTTGATAATTGACTCAAAATCTTATAAATCTATATTTGTTTTCTAGAATATAATTGTATTGGTAAGTTTAAAAAGAAAATTAAGAATTAAAAAAATGAAAATAAGATATGAAAGGAGTATTTATTTTCACCTATTATTATTATTATTATTATTATTATTTATTTTTTAGTATTATATGTTGTCGATTGTCATTGTTGGATTATGGAATCCAAGGGTAGAGGAAAAGGAGAAAAGATGTAGATTAGATGAAGAAGATGATGAATAGTGTAGCCTCCATTGTTTCCTCCACCTCCCCCTCCTCTTCCAAGAAGAGGAGTATAAATAGAGGAGCTAGGGTTAGGGTTTCGGAATAATGGACCGGCCCAACAGACTGGGTCGCCTTTAAATAACAAATAATTAACATACAACTAATGGGTTGGTCCAACAGACTGGACCGCCTCAACTAATATTATACAAAGACCGGATACCCCCTGTCCGGGGTATCCATCATGAGTCCCCCACTTTCCGAGCCGAGAGGAACTCGAGGTGAAGTGGAAGTAGAGCAACAATCCGCCACAGAAGGACACTGTCTTCCTTGCTGTACAAAATGCATCGCTAACTTGATGTCCCGAGCACGGTGAAGTAAGGCAAACAACGCCATATGTCAGAAACGTAATGCCAATTCGCTGTCCAGAATGTCAAAAAGAAACACATACTCTACTCATTGTCTTGAAAGGTTCTGCTCTCGTACAAAGGGCATCGTCGGTTTGCTGTTCAGAGTGCAATAATCACCATTAGAGTGGATGAATAAGTCGTCATCCTCCCACAATCTCGTCAATGTGTGACCCACTCCCCGGGGGATGCCTCATTAAAAACTTGCCGAGGAAAAAACCCATGAGGATGGGAAAAAATCCTCAGTCAAGAAAAGAGTACATCTCGTCCCACAGAGTGGATCTAGGAAACATTGCTAGGGTGTGAGGTCTTCTGTGTGAATCTCAGAAGAGGTGATCTTCAAGTCCCCCGGACTCGTTGTCTGGAGTCGAGGGCTATTCATCATAGTGTATTGCCGACGAGTGCAAACCGACACGGACAGCTGCGGTCTGATACAAGGTCGGGATGTCGATCGCCAACCTCTCATGATGTGAGATGTAACAATCACGAGCCGAGCACCCGGAGTCCCCCACTCCCTAAGCCGAAAAAGAATTCCGAGGCGAAGGGGAGTAGTGTCCATGCTCGACTCCGTTGGGAGTCTTTGGCCCCTTCACGGGATGACCGAGGCTGAGGCCAAGCTCGAGTACCCCACGAGGTGGTCGAGTCTGAGCTTGAACGGATGAGGCCGAGCTTGAGCGGATGAGGGCGAGCTTGAGTGGATGAGGCCGAGCTTGAGCGGATGAGGCCGAGCTCGAGTGGATGAGGCCGAGCTCGAGTGGATGAGGCCGAGCTCGAGTGGATGAGGCCGAGCTCAAGTGGATGAGGCCGAGCTTGAGCGGATGAGGCCGAGCTCGAGTGGATGAGACCGAACTCGAGTGGATGAGACCGAGCTCGAGTGGATGAGGCCGAGCTTGAGCGGATGAGGCCGAGCTCGAGTGGATGAGGCCGAGCTTAAATGGTTGGGGCCGAGATTGAGTGGCCAAATGCCGAGCTTGAGTGGCCAAGCTTGAGTGGCCATGCTTCAGTGGCTGAGGCCGAGCTTGAGTAGATGAGGCTGAGCTCAAGTGCCTCACGCAGTGGCTGAGGCTGAGCCTAGTCTTCTCATCCTTTTAACCTGCAAAATAAGTTCAAAAAGAACACAAGGCGCTCGCGGGCTCGGATGGACCGATCACCACGCGGCCGAGAAAAGTAAGTCAACGTATGAGTTGGGTCCAAAGTTTTGGACAAAAGATAGGCCTTATCAGCGAAGTGTGCCGATCGTGTAGTAGTCTGGTCTAGAACAAACCTTGATGTCATCCTTAGTGAGACCGGGGTCTTTAAATGAGAGCTACTCGGGTAAGTGAGATATGCACAAATGATGCACCCCTCGCCTTAGATCCGAGAGCAATATAGTTCACGTCGTGGAAGACGGATATATAGGAGTGCGTCGAGATGGACGGCTTACCTCGGCCTCGCGAATAGTATCGTCGCGGACGATTTGGAGTGCCTCGCGGGGAAGGCTTACCTCGGCCTCGTAGAAGAGGAAATAAAATCGCGTCGTGGGAGACGGATGGGAGTGCGTCGCGGTTGACGTCTTACCTCGGCCTCGTGGAAGAGGAAATGAGATCGCGTCGTGAAAGACGGATATATAGGAGTGCGTCGAGATGGACGGCTTACCTTGGCCTCGCGATAACATCGTCGCGGACGATCTTCAGCACCTCGTAGAGAGGTTACCCGGCCTCGCTAAGGAATGACTAAATGAGTTGGATTTGAGCCATGCCCTGAGGCAGGTCGCTAGCCTGTGTGGGGTGTGAGGTTAACCGTCCCACATCAGGGCTTAAAGTGTAATACCATCGTCCAAATGAGGTTCGATCACATGTGGTGGACAAGGTAATAGTAATAATAAGAGTGCATGATACCAACGATGACACTGATAATATGGTAAAATAATAAGTACGAAATAGTAGAAATAATGGTGTCAGGGTAAAGATACTTATCTTTTTATAGCTCCCTACACCATCCATATTTGAGGGCCATGGACCCCAGTGAATAGAGATCAGCACTATCTGCACTTCGTAACTTCGAACAACCGTGGCAGGAGTGTACCTCCCACTGTCACTGTTGTTCTGCTCCATCCTCTGCCTCCAAACCTCGAGGGGGTCACCGGAAGTACGGACACCGTCGGCCTGTAGCCTATCGGAGAAAAAAATGACGGTCGTTGGTTGCTGGAAACCAATCTGCGATGCCACTGCTAGGATGCGATGTCGTTTCTGTCACCGCCGTCCTTCCCGAAGAGGGGAAGAGAAGAAAGAAGCCGACGGCGTGGGGTTTTGGACCTCCGGTGAAAAAGGTCTTTTGAAGCAACTCTGGCGTCGGGGAGCACAGCCGGGTCGGATCCGGCGACTGGGAGTATAGGCGGGTCAGATCCGGCGATTGGGAGTACAGGCAGGCTAGAAAATTGCACCGGACGAGGCGATGGCATCGCCGCCTGCCGGAGTTGGAGCGCTGCTGGTCGGCGGGGCACTGTTGGCCGACGGGCTGGTACCGCCTTCCAGAGTTGGGGCGATGCTGGTCGGCGGAGCAGCAGGAGGAAAACGCGTTATTCCTTCAAAAAGAAAAGAATTGATTTTTACATCAATCCTATTTCGCCGTTGCACTGCTCGCCGGAACAGGAGATTGGAGACTCCTCCGTCGGCTGGATTGGGATTCAGCCTTTGTTTTGATGGAATCTTTCTGTGTAGTCTCTTAGGGAAAACGGAAGGATTCACCGCAAAGATGAGTCTCCCCAAAAAAAGCAAAACAGAAACAATTGGGTTTAAAAGAATTTGAGAGCACGCTTGATGTGTTCGACACTCTCAATGAGAGCACCATTGTTGGATTATGGAATACAAGGGTAGTGGAAAATGAGAAAAGATGTAGATTAGATGAAGAAATGATGAATAGTGTAGCCTCCATTGTTTCCTCCACCCCCCTCCTCTTTCAAGAAGAGGAGTATAAATAGAGGAGCTAGGGTTAGGGTTTCGGAATAATGGGCCGGCCCAACAGACTGGGTCGCCTTTAAATAACAAATAATTAACATACAACTAATGGGTTGGTCCAACAGACTGGACCGCCTCAATTAATATTATACAAAGACCGGATACCCCCTGTCCGGGGTATCCATCAGTCATTATTGATATTATAAGTTTTATTTTTATTTTAGGTTAAAAATATGAGCCCTACTACTCCCCCATCTACCAAAGATCTACTCATTACTCATTACATGATTTGACCAATTTTATTTTCAAATTAATTTATTTGATTATAAGGATAAAATTTAAAAATAAAATTTATATAGTATAAAAGTACATGTACAATTTACAAAACTAGAAATGACAAGACTTTATTATTTTATGAAATGAGTAATAAAAATAAGAAAACAAAGTGAGTTCTGTTTGATCATGTTAACAATGTTTGAAAAGATTTCTGGCTGATAGATGAAGTATTATTTTTTTGAATGATAGTTAAATGGTATACCCACCTAAGTACACACCATTCATTTTGTAACCACACATTTTTACTCATTTTATTCTCTTTTCACACTAAAAAGTAGGGTGTGTAGTATAGGGGCACTTGGAGTATAATTTGGGTGTATCCAAGGTATTTTTTCTAACCACTATGTACACATAAGACATGCACTAATATTTTATGCTAGTGTAATGTTAATATATTACGGAGTACTTTACAGTACAATTTTTTTTAAATTGAAATACGGAGTAACATTTTATATCAGTATAAATAGTTAAAATGGTGGTGTAGTGGTGTCTTTGTTTTTTATTCCTATTTTAGTGTTTTTTAAGAGTAAATTCTATAATTGGTCCTTTATAACAGGGGGTTTCCCTATTTAGTCCTCTATTATCAAATATTATCCCAGTGGTCTTTCTATTATGGGTACCTTTCCACAAATAGTCCTTTTTTTGATCTTTTATCATGTTGGTGTTAATTTGAGGACTAAAAGTATAATTTCACAATGATAATATATCTTTTTTGTCATACACAATTCCAAAGACTGTTCCATTTGCGTCGTTTGTGAATTACAGTCGTTTTTTACTACAACGATAATCTACAAATGTGATCTTTCGTCAGAATCCTAGCCCACAATCAGAGTCATTATATTATTTTTGTGTTATCCGCTTAACCAATATCAGAACACGTCACTAGACATAATAATGTTGATGTCAAGTTATACTTTTAGCCTTTAAATTAACACCAACACGGCAGAAGATCAAAAAAAGGACCATTTGTGGAAAGGTACCCTTAAAAAAAGAACTACGAGGATAATATTTGATAATAAAAGACTAAATATGGAAACCCCGTGTTATATGTTATAAATGTTATAAAAGACCAGTATTTCATTTTTCCGTACGGACAGGTGCGAACAAGCAGTGAAGCAGGCCTGCGATTTGCGAACAAGACGGACTCTGGCACTCCCCAACGCCTGCCTTCTCCGTCGACTACTCCGGCACTCACCATTCAGCCGGCAGCTGCAATTCAGCGGCAGCCGCCCCTCGATTCAGCACCTATTCAGGCATTCAGCGAGCCAGCGGCCTCATCATTATCCAGGCAAATACGCTGGTCTCCCTATATGTTCAATTGTTTTAGATATTTATGGATTTGTGAACCTTGAATTTCTGATTAGGTTAATTTTCACTACAAAAGATTTTAAGCAGCACAAGATTTCAATATTTCATTGTGTGAGGATAGGTGTAGAGATGGAGAAGAGAATGAATGGTGTTAAACCTCCCTATCCAAGACTGTAACACAGTCCGAGAACTAAGGCCCCGTTTGGCAACAGATTTGGCATTTCGAAAAAATGTTTAGCTTTAGTGTTTTCAAATTTAATTTGCACTATTAAAAACTCATCCGAAACGCCAACGCTAATTTAAAATGGCATTCCCAAACAACGCTTAAAGATATTTTAGGAATAATAGGAATGGAGCTTCTGAGTGCATCTGTTGTATGTCAGGAAATGACCATGGGAAGCTTTTGCTCCTGATATATATATGTTCTAGCTTCCCTCATTCCTAACCAGTTGAATGTTACTAAGCTTCTCTTATCTAAGTTTGATATGCCAATCATAGAAAATGTTCAATATGTTCATAGACGTCATTGAATTTCTTGAATGCCCAACTCTGCCCATTTTTTATCCATTTGGTCATCAATGGAAAGTGGGTCTTATGGGGTGGGAGCGAATAATTGCTTAAGAGTTTGAAATTGGAAATGAATTAGAAATTGAATCTGTTGGGGGGTGCGGGTGCATAGGGCTTATAATTCACTTTTTGTAAGTGTGAATTGGAGATGAAAACTGAAGTTGCTAAGGTGTTCAAGAAAATGAGATCCAATCTTAAGTGTTTTTCATCCTTCAAAGAAGCAATATAATCTTATAATAATCTATAATAATCTAGGCATTGATGATGAATGAGATTTGTGAATTTCACTTTAAGTACAATTAAAAAACAATAGAGTATTAAGCAAGTGTGTTTCACTGTGAATAGGAATTGTGAGTTGAATTATTGTTTGGTAGTGTATGTTTAAGCTATAGAGATATGTTCCGTATTTAGTACTTTTCATATTATGTATTCAAGTCCTTTCTTCATTTGGTGTCTAACACATCTTTCGGTATTCAAGTCTTCACATGACTTAAGTATTTAAACACAATGTAATATTTAAATGTTAAACACGATTTCATTGTTAATTTGCACAATGGATTTTAAACATTTATTGGGGAATGGTGATTGGTATTTAAATAGTATTAAAACATTTATCAAACAGACACTTTTAGCAAAATGGATGATGTGGAAAAAGATCTTGCTGGTCCGAAAACACTTGCCATGTTGCACTTGCAAGCGGCTCATCGCTCACATCGTGTTTGGACAGACCCGGCATTTGTAGACACAGAAGTCATTCCCGTTCGTTATGATAGTAGTATCCCTGCTCAGTTTCGAGACCCGAGGGTTACAGAGAACTTGAGGCGTGCTGGGTTCTATGGGGTGCACCGAGTGCATCCCATCAGATTAGATCATGGTCTCATCACAGCCTTGATGGAGCGATGGAGGCCTGAGGTGCACGCATTCCATTTTCCATTTGGGGAAATGGGAATCACTCTACAGGATGTAGAGTGTCTTATGGGCCTTGCAGTCGATGGGTTGCCATTTCTTGGTGCGCCGGCCTTGCTCCCGGATCAGCGCGATGAGGTTTTCCGTGATATCCTTGGGTGGGAAGTCGATGGAAACGATTTTGGGCGTCCTGACCAGTTCAAGATTTTCAGGTTAGGCCGTAGAGAGCAACCGGATGTGCATTGGACCGACGAGCAGGTCAAGCAATATACTGCAGGAGTTATTTATGGGTACCTGGGAGGGCTCTTATTCCCGGACACTTCCGGGAGGTATGCGACAACTGATTTTGTCCCATTACTAGAGGATTTCGACCATACATCCAAGTACAGTTGGGGTTCAGCCGTTCTGGCACGACTGTACAGTAGCCTTTGTCGTACGTCTTTGAAGACGAATGATGGGACACGACCTAGTGGGTGTCTCCTTCTTCTCCAGCTTTGGGCGTGGGCACGGTTCTTGCCGATCAGACCCGTGGTGCGTGACTTGCCAAATGATCGCCACGGACCTCTTTTCTTTGATGACCCACACGGTGCTCGGTATTAATCTGTCAAGTTATAACTTCTCTGCAATTTATCTATTTATTCTTGTAATACTCGGATTTACACGTTCCCTTATTATGCATAGGTGGAGAGTTCGGAAAAGCTATGCTCACACCGCGCGAAATAATGTCCGATACTTTCGGGACCAGTTTGATGGTGCCCTATATCGACATGTATGTGTCATTTTGTTTTAGTGTGTGTATTAGTTGATATTATAATGTCTAAATTCGATACTCTTAAAATGTAGGTTGATTGGGAACCATACGACGTCGATAGTCTACCTGCATACTGCAAGGCGGGCCAGGGACTGTGGTCTTTTGAGGGCATAGTTATTTACCGGTGGCACGTCGAGCCCATCATGCCCAGACGGTTTGCTAGGCAATTCGGCAAATTGCAAACCATCCCTGAGCTCCCATATCCGTATGGCACGGACAATCACAAGTGCAGAGGCACCCATTCCCGCGAGACTTTGTCCGCATACATCCACGAGTGGGGAGAAGATCGATACAATCATGTCGTCTTGGATCAGATGGAAGCGCTTCCATCCCCTCGCGACACCGGAGAACATGTTGGGCAGGGTTATCGGGATTGGTTTGCGTTTTACGGCCGTCGTCTAATACGGAACCCGGCTCACCACCACGACAACGGCGCTGAAAGCTCTGCTGCCGCACTTGTTGTTGCGGTACGTAACCTAAAACACAAACATTTGCTCCTACTAATTCTTACCCTAAATCTCTACCTCTCCCATCATATCCATTCACTGTTAATCTATCCATCACATTTTACTTTTACCCATTTGAGAAAGTCAAAACAAAAATATTTCTCCTTGACTCCCTTAAATTCCATAAAAGTCAAAACGGGAAAGAGATTTTGGGACTGAGAGAGTACTTAACTAATTTTTCTTGTAGGTTAATACTATGACTAGGGTGAGGGATCTCCTTGAGGGGTGTCCCGAAGATCAAAACAATGCTGCACAGATGATCTTAGCGCAATGTAGGGATACCCTCACTCAAACTTTAGAGGAGCTTGCTCGGAACAACTACATCGAAGATGAGGATGAAGACGAACACCGTGGTCACAGGCGACGCCGACCACAAGGATGATTGCAACCAGGGGCTGGCCCATTTGCGGGACCCACGGTGTCCGGGTGACCATTATGTAATCGGCCCGGTTCTAGTGACACTAGAGAATGGTGCCACTAGCGGTGCCACTGGCTTTTTGGGCACCTCCGGTTCTCCGTTCGTAAAATTGACGGTTCTTATCCCCCTAACCCACCCCCTAAACCCCCCACCCTACCCCCACCCCTGCACCCCCACCCCAACCCCGCCATAAGCCCCACACAAAATGTGTGGCTATTATGCCGGGCATAATAGCCACACATTTTGTGTGGGGCTTACGGCGGGGTTGGAGTGGGGGTGCAGGGGTGGGGGGGTTTAGGGGTGGGTTAGGGGGTAGGAAACGTCAATTTTACGAACTGAGAACCGGAGGTGCCCCAAAAAGCCAGTGGCACTGGAGTGGCACCGTTCTCCGGTGTCACTGGAACTGGCCCGTTATGTAATTATGTATACTGCGTATATATAGGTATACGTAGTATATATTTACTCTTACTATTTGCGCAGTGTATTAATAATGTAGAAATAACTAAGATGATTCTGATAGTAGAGCAGATCAGAGTGCTCCGGGACACCACAACCGCACCTCCGCCTTCCGCTGCTTGGTAACTGCAGCAAATCCTCATCCTATTCAAATTTTCAATTTCCAATATTATCAGGTATGATATGTGAATTTGTGAAGTATGAGTTTGTCATTTGTGATTAGGTTAGTTTTTACTCCGTGTAAATGATGTATTGATATGTGAATTTGTGAAGTATGAGTTTGTTTGTCATTTGTGATTAGGGGCCTGTTTGAGAATAGCATTAGCGTTAGCATTTTGGATAAAATTTTAACGGTGCAGATTACTTTGACAATGCTAACACTAAGGGTGCATACAAATCAAATAAAATATATTTGATTCATGATTTGCATTCGAAAAAGATGATTCGTATTCGCTATATTCGAATTCGAATCCGAATACAAATCATATTTTAGATTCGAATTATATTCGAATTCGAATACAAATATTAATAGCTTCAATTCGTTTAGTATTCGAATATTATAATTTATAAATAAATTTATAAATATTCTAATATATTAAATATTTGTGTACATATTTTTTTGTACATATAAATTTATATATATTCGAATACTCCCTCCGTCCCCAATTTGATTACAAATTGCGGGTTACGGAGTAAAATTTCCTACTTTTTGAAATCATTTTATTTACAAATTGGTATACCAATAAGATATAAAAATTACATATTAAAAAACTACGTCAAAAGTTCTACAAAACAAGACGTGACAAGAATATTTTAATTTATCAAATACTTAATGAAATCGCGTAAACAAACAAAAGTTATCGAGAGGAGAGAGAAAAAAAATTGTAATCTATTTAGGGACGGAGGGAGTATTACAATTTATAAATAAATTTATATATATTCTAACATTTTTTACTACATTTTACATTATTATAAAATAATAATTTAATGTATTTAAGAAATCTATTTTAAGAAAAAAATTACTTATATTTTCGAATTCGAATATTCGAATACGAATTCAAATACGTTAAATATCTATCGAATCGAATACGAATGTTTTTTAAAATTCGAATTATATACGAATCCGAATTCGAATACATATCACTTTAATCGAATACGAATCGAATAGTGATATATTTGCTTCGATTCGATTCGTATACACCCTAGCTAACACTAAACGCTGCCCGTAGATAGTCTTTTCAAAACGTTGACGCTAATTTCTAACGTTATTTTCAATCAGGCCCTATGTTAGTTTTTACTTTATAATATTATATGAAGGCTTAATGGAAAGAGAGAAAAAAAATAGTTTTTCCAAGGAGTTTTATGTGGTTTTATGTACAAAATACAAATGTACCTATTACAAGTAGTTATACATCCGTTCGTCCCAAACTAAGTTGTCTGTTTCCTATTTACAATATCAAACTTCATTCACTTTGTATCTCTGATTTCGTTACTCATTTGGTAAAAAAAATAATCACGTGACTGTTTGTTTCGTAGAGTTTGTAATGTAGTTTTTAATATTTAAATTTAATTTTTTAATTCCGCTCTAAATCTCAAATAAATTGTATTGAAAATAGCTTCTACCAAACATCGTAAACCAAAGTAGACGATTTTAATAGGGACGGAAGAGTACTTTATAAAATTTTAGTGGACTACATTATGTACCAAATGGTATAGCTTTGCAACGTCGAAGTACTCCTTGTCGGTAATGTTATAGTGGACCACTGGACCTAACATTTACACAACTTTTTGTTGACCTACATATGAGGGTGATAAGAAAGTGCTTACTACTTTTATGAGCACTTTCTTTTCAAATTATTTTAAAAAAATTAAAATGATTTTGATTTGAGATGATCCACAAAAAAAGGGTGAACCTTAAATTAAGCACTCTAACTTGCAAATCCTTTTATGCAGCTAGGATGCAAGGCACATTTGGCGCACTTAAAGGATAAAATAAATTCTTTCGTGGACCTAAGGTCATGAGCCGATCTAAGTTAAAGGCTATGGGGGCAATGGCCCCTAGTCAATTTTCTTTTTTTTAATATATAGTGTAAAATGGCAATAGGCTGCAATATGTTTACGGGCTTTAATACATTTGGTCTTGGAAAAAAAAATTATGATCCTGTGAGGCTCATAATTATGACCCATCCAACCGACCCAAGATATTACCCCTCAAGGCTCAATTCCTCCGCTTGTAGCAAAAATCGAATAGAAGAAAAGCTTCCGACAGAACACTCAGAAATCGGACCAGAAGAAAGAAGAGAGCCGAGTCGCCGCCGGCAGCCTCCACCGCCGGACGCCGAGTCGCCGACCTGCACGGCTCCACCCTCCAGGTAATTAGTTATAGATTTCCACTTTCATTGTTTCATTTGTTTAGATTTAAAATCTAGGGTTAATTATTAGTTTTTAATTTGAAATCTTTTCTAACTTCATTCTTTGAAATAGAATGAATGAATGATTATATGTTATTTATTTGATTTGGATGAATTGATTTGAATTTGTTATTTATGATAATGGTATATTTACATTAAAAAAACCGAAAATAAAAAAAAAATTAAAAACTGATAAATTGATGAATTGATATGAATTTATGATTTATAAAAAAATTAAAACTGAAAAAGAAAAAAAATTTAAAAAAGAAAAAATGACAAATTGATATTAATTTATGATTTATTTATTTATTTACTTGCTTTTTTCAGTTTTTTATTCTTGATTTTACTTAGTAGAATTTATGAATTTGGATTTTATTTTAGAAATAATTCAATAGCTATGGCTCCTTAACAATTGTCTGGTAGTCAAAAAAGAAAAAAAAGAGAAAACGAGATGAAGAAATGAGAAAGTCTCAAGCCGGAGCTCTATATAAGTTTAAATGCTGAAGACGAAGAAGTAGAAGTAAAAGAGATGCAAGAACATGTTGAAGAGGAAAATTTTAGGACCTTTTAGGATAATACTTTTATGGCCTTTTTTCTATTTCAGCCGAGGCTGATGAATCCTCAGGACCGGCCCTGATTTCAGCAAACAGCTAAAAATACCAATTTAGGAAAAACTGAATCCAATCCATGATCCAGTGAGTTGTTAATTCTGTTCAGGTTCAGAGATGGAAGAAGTGGAACCCACATTCAACTCTGCAATTCATCCCTTCTGGGAAGATATTGAACGTGCTGAAAGGTGAAATCTTTTGCTTGTTTTGTACTTCTCACTCACTGAAATTTAATGGAAATCTATTTTTTTCCGATTGAGTTTTGCAGTTATCTGGTGTGCTGTATGTACGATGAAGCAGCCTCTTGTTCTCACTCTGTACTGAAGAGCTTGTTAGAGTTTATTAATTCTAACAACAATAACATACACAATCATGAAATTGCAGAGAGCAATGATGAATTGGATGATATGTTGGAGTCGGCTGGAATGGCCTTTGTCCAGTCTTTGAATCAACTTGGAAGGTATACCTTTAACCCTAGAACCACCATGCCTTCGTATAATGCAGCAGCTCTTGTGTTGGTGGGTATATTTTCATCCATTGCAAATGGAGCTAATATAGTCCTTTTTTACAATGTTTTAGTTTTGGATAAATACTGGAAAAATTTACAATGACATGTTAAACATCTCTTGCTTCTAACTTTCTATGAAGTTTTGGGAAGTAAATGCAACAATGCATCAAGGGTCTAACGAAGTTGAAATAATGTTGTGTTTGTTTGTTGTTATTGTTGCTGTTGTTATTGCAATAGAATAGAAATACGGATAGTTTATGTCGATTTTGGGTCTATATCTTAATCTGCAAGTAGTTATTGTATTTGTCAATTAAAGTGCAAACGATGGCTTTTGGCACAGGCAAATATGAATATGATTTTGTGTGTGTGCAGGATCTCAGAAATACTGAAAGAACTTAAGATGTTGTTTGGTTCAGTCACTGCCATCCCTGCTCATGTCTTCTATACTGGGTAACTTCTTTATTTACATGTTCGACCTAATGTTCATGAAAGGATGAGTAGTACCACACACTCTTCTCTGCATTTGTCTCATACTCTCATTTACTCTGATCATGGATATTAGTTTGTTACAGTAGTTTTATGTTTACCATCAAATCCCTTGCATGTGAAAATGATTATAGAAACATGGAAGTTTCATTAAAAGTTGAACTATATTATTTTCTATTCATTAAATAATTCTGTGTAGACATATCCACATTTGTATACATATTGGACTATTTGGATCTAGACAAATATACTTTAAAGCCTTAAGTCTGTCCATTGCTAATGGGGCTATGAGAGTCATCATTGACAAAGGTTTTTTTAGGGCACATAATGGACCAAGTGGGTGTTTTCTGTGCTTATAAGCTTTTTTAAACTTAAAGTCAGTTGATGGCGTGTTTCTCTGTGCTTATCATAGTTGTCACGGCGTCGGCTAGGCGTTGTGGAACCCCTCTACTCTTGCCACCGGAACTCGCCTCACCTCATTTTGCATACCTCGTCTAGGCGTCGCCTTCGCCTCGCCTAGTCCAGTGCTTTTGTTTTTATTCCAGTGCTTTTTTAAAGTATTTTATACCCCCGATTCCAATGCTTTATTTTTTAATGCTTTAAAAATCAGTTTATTTTCAGATTAATGTTTTTTTCCTACTTTATCTTCCTAATTAGTATTCAGTGCTTAAATTTTTAAATGTAAAATGGTTAACTTATTTCCAATTTATTCCGGCAATTCTTTTTTCAACTTTGGTTTTTTTTCTTTAGGAAAGTACCTAAAAGTAACTTTGGTTGTTAAACTTCGTTGTATTAGAACATTTTATGAATAGATTCTTTACAAAACTATCCCTCGGCATTTATGAATATCCCCAAATGACTTATCTATCATTTGTCATCTTCCTTCCACGAATGAATATTTAACTTATAAGCATCTTACAAGTTCACAACTGTTTGTCAGCAATAAGGCAATAAGCACACCCTAAATAAAAAAGGCACATTAAACTTCTTGCTTCTTACTCTCTATGAAGTTTTAGGTAGTAAATGCATCATGGGTCTGACAGAAACAGAGTCTCTATTTTTACAGGGGTAAGACTGCATACATCTTCACCCCAGACTCCAATGGAGTTTAGATTATACTAGGTTGTTGTTGTTGACGTGTCTTTCTGTAGAAGGTGACATAGAACATTCTTTGTTAGGGCATGCTTCCAAATACCTGGTTTCATTTCTTCTGATTTTCAAGATATCCTTGAGGAATATCTTAGCAAATGGGAATACATGGATGGAAATTATTATGCTTCAGGAAGTCTTGGAGTTGACATTACTCGTGTCAAAGGCTTCAGGAAGCAGATTGTGCTTGGAGTTGATGAATATCTAGAAGTTGTTGAGCTCTATGTGATAGATATTCTGGGAAGGGCTATGAAAAATGTTGATCTTGCCGTCTCATGGGTTGAGAAAGCTAGTTTACCTGAGGAAAAGCGGCAGGTTAGTATTTCTTTTCTCATATTCTCCTGTTACATATTCTTTTTGGGGTTTAGGTGGCCGTGTTCAGTGATAGTACTGAACAAATGTTTGGTTGATATTGCTGAATAAACTTTACCAATTTCGGGATATTGGAAAGTTCTTGTTTTTTTGCTTCATTATACAGTATATTTTCCGGCTTAAAAGATGATCTCTTGATATTCATTCTCAAAATTTGAAAACCTAAAATTGCGTGATTTGTTGTCAATGTCTATGTTTACTTCTAATGGATAGAATATTATCCTATAATCTGGCACATGTATGGTCTTTTATAAGCACTTTAAAATTAATTGCACGCTCCCCTATGAGGTGCATTTCCTATCATATAGATTATGAAGTTTTTTAACAGTATTGATTTGATGTCCAACTTTTAATTATAATCTTCTCCCCCCTCGTCTCAAATTAAGGTTCCACATTTGACTGGTCACGATTATTAATAAAGATGAAATTGAGTGGTTGAGAGTTATGCAGAGCAGAGTAATAATGTAAATCATATAATCGTTTCTGTAAAAGAAAAGTGGAACCTTATTTTGAGACAAATATAAAAAGAAATGTGGAACCTTTTCACGAGGGTGAAAGAGTGTCATCTTTACATAATGTTTTAAAATCTTTGGAATTTAGCAACTTGTGTGAAAAAAGCTGTGTTGTATGATATCCTTAGAAGTTTGCCTATTTAGTCTCTCATTATGTGTATTTGACCTGTATATCACTTGAAAACTATATGGAAGTTAAAACCTTCTAGAGTTGATCTCTATTTTATTTTAGAAAAGAACCTAAATGTTTTAGCCTAAAAAAGGAAGTTGAAGACTATTAGGCCTGTGTATAGATTAGAGAACATTTACAATTTGTGAATGATCAATCCCAACATTTGAGGATCTTGGTCTATAGAGTACAATCTGCACGGAGAGGTAATGGAGGAGGGGAACATACATCGTTCAAAAGAAAAAGAAGAAGACAATCTTCACAAGTCCTTTATGTTAACTTCACACATAGTAACAACATATATAAACACTCCCCTCAATATGGTGCATAAATATCATTTGCACCAAGCTAGTCGCATATGTAGACTGTCCTTGGATTCATTCATAAAGGCTTGGTGGAGATGCCCACAAGTTGATCATTATATTTCAAAAGTGACGTGCTAATTTCATTTTTCCCAAATGAAATGACAATCAAATCTCTATGTCCTTAGTTTTTCTTGAAAAAACAGCTTTGAGGCAATGTGGGGAACTGTTTGAGAATCCAAATCAAGATGCCCATAGTGGAATCAATTAAAATGACACACTAAACTTCCCTTGCTTCTTACTTATGACAAAGTTTTGGAAGTAAATGCAGCAATGCATCTCGGGTCTTATGGAAATAGCATCATTGTCTTCACTGGGGCAAGTCGGTAAGACATGGAGTTGGGATTATATTGGGTTGCTATTGTTGTTTTTCTAGTGTATTAAGCAGTATTAAGTTCCTCAAGTACAAACCTTGTTTAGATGAGCTCACATATTGTCAGAGAAATGGCTTTGAACTCTGCTTCAACACTTGATCTTGCAACTAGACCTTGTTTCTTGTTTTTTTCACCACCAGGTTAAATTACCCCTATGCAAATGCAATACCCCAAAGAATATTTTACATACAAAACAAAATATAGAAAAATACATACCCCATGATTCGTGTTATTTTTAAAAATTATAAATACAAATTACAGAGTATATTGAGACTAAGTAGAAACAAAGTATAATGTATTATATTTATATTTTTTTAAAATTGAATTTTATATGTTATTTCTTCGTAAACTTTACTAAGAAAACATTCTTTTGGATCAAAATATACTTAACTGGACAAAACTGAAAGTTGTAATTTTCATTTTTAACTACAAACTGATGATCTGAGCTAAAAATAAATAAAAAAGAATGAACTATTAAGTATTAACTGGATTTAATTGAACATAACTAAAGTCAGCCGGACCTTAGTTCCGATTTTAAATGAAAAGTGCTTAATTTGACTAGAACAGGTGCCTAAGTCAATGAATGTTGCAATATTATTAAGATGAGTTGAAGTACGGATTATTCTAGGCCGATCACTCAAAGTTTGGACTATTATAAGATTGTTATTAACAGAGAACTAGTTGTATTAGTTCGTGGTGCTTAGATGGATGAAGGTCTTAAAGTTCGTATTATTTCTTGAACTGGTTGAAATTTGGATTATTATTGACTGATGCCCAAAGTTTGGATTATTAAAGGCAATTTTCAAAGAAGAAGAAGAAGTCGATTGTATGAGATTTTGCGAAATTTTTGTGAAGATATCTGCAATTTGATTATTACATCTGGTAAATGATGTGGTGATTTCTTTAGACATACTTTCTCCTGTACAAAATGACAATAATTCTGTCAATGTGCTATTTTTTTTTTTTTTTTTTGAACTTTTTCATGGAAAACCAGACTGGGGATTTTTTATTTTGGTGGGGAGGGGGGTGGGGAGGTTAGAGTTTGGTGGTTGGTTTTTACACAACGTTGAGGAAAAATAGATTAACACTATGTTTGGTTCAAGGAATTTGGAAAGAAAAGAAAATGATTTTCTCTCATTTTCAACACCAAAATGGGAGGAATTTGGTTTTCCCTCCACTTACTACATATTGCCTTCTCATTTTTTTTCTTCCACTTTTCCTTTTTTTTTCCTCTCTAACCTAACAAGAAAAACTACTTTCCATTTCATTTTCTTTTCTTTTCCCTTTCAAATTCCTTGAACCAAACATAGTGTAAGGGTATATTTTTTGATGGCATATAGTTGGGTGGTACATTTTGTTCCTTTCTTTTCATAAATTGCACATTTTGTACTCTTCTCACCACTTAGTTTATGATTATTCTTATTATTATTTTACCGTGCGGCATTTTTAATAAATGTTTCCCCTCGTTTACTAACTATTCCTTCATATGGCTATTCTCCAGATTCTGCTGAGGCTATTACACTCCATGAACACTTCAGACCTCGACAGTTCATCCCAGCCCACTGCTTCACTATTGCAAATAGATGAATATCTGAATCAGTCAGATTCCATGATGGAAGAAAATCCCAGTTCTGCAAACAATCTGGAGAATAATACAAAAGAGACAATTATGAAAATGTACAAATATAGAGCACCCTTTTGGTGGTTCCGGACCATAAATTTGAAGTTTGGGAATGCTCAATTCGTTGTCTCAAATGGCAATATTTTTCTATGTTGTCTACCTCTTATCTTTTTTTATATGATGAGGAGGAAGCCGGACCTGAAGAGGTAAGAAATGCTGCTACTCTTTCCGGATACGTGTATTATCTAACCGTCTAATGTCCGTTTTTATAGATTGGTTAGTTCTGTTAATTTTATTTTCTACTTTGTGGTTCATTACAGTACTTTTAGGAAACATGCTTGGTATGTGAAGAAGGCTTTGACTGATCTCTGGGAACTTGCATTCTCATACCAAGTAAACCCTCTAGCTGGACTTCAATCTCTTCCTCTTGCAGCAGCCCTCTGATTGTTCCATCTCCTTCGTCTTGGTACTATCTTAAGGGTGTGTTTGGTTAAATTAGTGGATGGGAGGGGAAATGATTCCCTTACCTTGATTTGGACCTTAACCAAAATGAGGAGGGAACCATTTTCCTTCCCCTCCAACCACACACAAACTTACACTAAACAATACCTAGCTGAAATAGTAAGAAAGAAATTCAGATGAGTTAGTTATTAGGCCATGTACTTCGGTTGCTTTGATGAACTCATAATCAAGACAGTCAATTCATAAATATATATGGTCAATGATCAATAAATATGAAGACCTATATGATTTTGTGGTCGTTTGGAAGATACAACAACAAATCCAGTAAAATCCCTCAAAAAAAGGTTTGAAGTGTGGGTGTGAATGTAGACTCCATTCCCATTGGGATGTTGAGAGGTTGTTTATAAGAGACCAATTCCCAACATCTCAACCACAAAGTAAACCCAAAAGCATGAATAAAGTAAGAGCAAAGTAGAAGCAAAAAAGCAAACTAATGGCTTAGTAAGCGCATAGAGACATAAAACACACAAATCGATACTAACAACTAAATGCAAAACATAGAAAGCCATACAAAGATAAGAGTAAAAACACACATGCTAAAACTATCACTAAGGTTGAAGTCCATCCAATTTTTCTAATTCTAGATATCAAGACGTGTTTATCCATAGTCATATCTTCGGTATGATCTTGAATTCTTTAGTCTTGTTTGATCAATTCTTTCTAACTTTTCTTAGGTTTACCTCTACCCCCTTCTCTCACATTTCTGCATTGGGGCCTTTGCATTTTTCTCAATTTTCTGTTTCGTGTGTCCAAATCACTTCAGTCTAGCTTTGTGTAGCTTATCCTCCACATACATGTGTCGCTTTAACTCGTCCTTGAATAACCTCTTTTTGGATTCAATCTAACCTTGTGTGCCCACACATCCTCCACAAACATGTGTCATATATCTTTCTTGTCATACACAATTCCATAGACCGTTCTTGATGCGTCGTTTCTGAACTACAATCGCTTTCGACTATAATCATAGTATAAAGATGTGATTTTTTGTTGGAATTTTAGTCCGCAATCATAGTCATCATTTTTGTGTTATTTGTCTTACCTATATCGGAATATGTCATTGGACATAAGGTTGATGCTAAATTATACTTCGTATTTTGAGTTTTTAAATTAACAACATGGCAGTAGATTAAAAAAAGACAATTTGTGGAAAGACACTCATAAAAGGACTAAAGGGGCAATATTTGATAATAAAGGACTAAATATGGACCAATTATGAAATTTGCTCAAAACTTTTTTAGACAAAAAAGGAAAATATTTAATTTGACAAATGAAGTATATGTTGGTTTGAAAAAATAATTTTTCATTATTTTACACACAAACATTTTTCTTGTCTTTATGAAAAAAGAATAGAAGTGTTAATAACAATAAAGAAAAAGGAGAGAGGGCATTGGCGCCCATTTCAAAACCTATAGGGGACAATTGAGTTATTCACTTAATATTTGAAGGATATTTTTATCCAGAGGACATTGATGTAGCAATATCAGAACCATGAAGAGAAACGACATAGGTCTCGAAACCATAGGAAGTAACATTGCATATTTACCAAACCACGGGTGTTGGTGAATAACGTTGGAGAAGAAATAATAAAAAGGAAAGGCCAATGGTTTCATGCCATGTGGCTGGATTCGCTCCAGCTCCAGCTCCAATTCTTTTTTTAAATTTCTAATATTGGTACTCCATGTAGGGGGTTAACTTAAGTTGTATACTTAACAACAGCTTTATTTTAATTTGTCATAATGGTTTTAAATTACTTTTTCTAATTGTTTAAGTTTTCTATTTTGGTACTCCCTATGTGATGGAAACCGCTTTTTCGGGGCGTCGACCCGATGAAATCAGTACCGGGTCCGCACCGCACCGAATAGCGAAATCCGGAAATTAAATAAATAAATAAAGCATAGAGAAAGTATTTATACGTGGAAACCCAAATCGGGAGAAAACCACGGGCTTTTTTAGGCAGTGCCATGCTAAAGGGAAGAAACTTTTATTAATCTCGGGGATTGTAGGAGCTTGGAGCCATTAATGGAGCCCCAAGCTAAAAGAAGAAGAAAAATGAAGAATAGCAATGAAACTTGTATGAAGTTGGCCCCTTGAGTATGTAGCCTTGTAGGAGAATACTTGGTCTCCCTCTCTTGGGAATGACCTCCCATTTAAAGGAAAGCTAGCATATCACATCGGGCCTCCTTTATGTGATACTCACGTGGGTCTCATGTGGGTATGTTTATCATGGGTCCCATTCAATATTTACATATCACTTCAAATTATCTTCTTCGTTTTATATCTCTGGTTCCGTTTTGAATAATTTATCTGATTTGTAAATTGGGCTGGATTGAATCGGGCTTACTTGTAAATTTCAAATAATATTGAATTAGGTAAAAAACTCTAATCCATCACTATGTCTTTGAATGAATTTGGGATTGATCTTTTTTGAATGTCTAAAAATTAATTCTACACTATTTAATTTTTTTGGAACAAATATGTTGACGTCTTTAATTATATCTCTACCAAATACTCCATCCGTCCCACTCTTTTTGTCCACTTTCATTAAACGTGTGGTAGGTTACGTGAAGAAATTAGATAAAATAGAACATTAAATATATAATTTTTTAATATTTTTAATATATAATTATTAGATATACAATTCTGTTTAGTTTGTTCTAGTGTGTACTGATAAAAATCTGAATGTGTAACTCTCTTAAACTACTCAGTTTCACGAATCATGAACAGTTCCAAAAGTCAAAACTGTACAAAAAGAGTGGGACGGAGGTAGTAAATTTTAACCAGACATTTTTACAAAGTCGGTTTATTGAAAAATATTTGTAACAAATTAAGATAAAATTCTTGATTTTTTTGTCGAACCCTTTAACAAAATGTAGTGCATTTTTTATTTTTCATCATTTTGTAAATTAATATAATTGTATATATTATAAATATTTGATAATAAAAAAATCATTTAAGTCACATAATGAATAGTATTTTAGTAGTTTTTATGTAAGAGATGAAGAGTAAATAGAGAAATTGTGTATTAGCATGTGTAGAAAGATGAAAAGTCTAAAAAAGCCATAGGGGCACTGGTGGGATCCGGGGCGGAGGCATAGCGGTGCATGCCAGACACAACCTGGTATGAAGTATGAACTAAGACATTTTAGAATTTTAGGCATGGCTTTTGAAAAATAAACCTATTGTGTTATGCTTAAATGTTGTTTTATCAAGAGAACAACCAGCTGTACCGTATAATTTGTCATTGTTTAGAAATGGGCCTCTTTTCTTTTCTTTTTTTTATCTTTTCTCATGAATGTTTTTTTAATTCTTTTTTTAAATTGTTTTTCCTTGTTCCTTAGGATCCTCGAAGGTGATGGCGCGTGGAGGTAGGCTTTGATATGGCTAAAGGCGTGAGAGAGGTTGAACTTCTTCAAATTGCATGACGATGGTAAACAGTCTAACGGACAGTGGCGGATCTAGAAGTTCAGCTAGATAGGGGCACCATTGGTCGGAGGTCCAGAGTAGCGTTTCTCAATATTCTATAGGCTATTTGAAATGACAAAATAAATAAATGATGAATTTTGCTTCAAACATTTATTAAATGTAAACCATTTTGAATAGGCAATGTGAAATTTTATATTATATACAAATAATTATATGCAACTACAATTTACAAAAAAAAAAATTAAACAAAAAATATAAATTTGACATGATCAGAAAGGGGCACATTAATTTTTTTGGGGACATCTATACATAATTTTTTAATTTATTATTCTTTTTTACCATATTACAAATGATTAGTAGAGGACGTTTGACCCCTACTCCATAAAGGTGATCCGCCCCTGCTAACGGATGAGTCTTTTTCGCCTTCCTATTTTGGTGCTCTTATTGATGATTGCAGCTTGATATGAGTAACTTTCACTTTGTTTCCTTTCTATTTGTTAGGCTTAGTTTTAAATTTTAATGTTATTGCTCATAAATTAGTTCGACATGTTGAGTCTCATTGTTGCTTGTGAGACCCTACACCCCCATATTTTATTTGCTCGAGTGGTAATGAAAAGTTTCATTTTTAAAAATCAAAATGTGTGGTGTTCGAAATAAAAAATCAAAACTATTTTTGTGTAACACACCCTTTTAAAACTTTATTTTTGTGGGATTTAATTGGGTTATTGTTCTTGTTGTAAAGAGCATTTGCATATATTTACGTAAATATTAGTTCATTAATTAAATAATAGCCTAACATTATGAAAAGAGCATTTGCATATATTTATGTAAATTTAGATTCGTTAATTAAATAATACTCAAAGCACTCTATATATTTTAATCTTATCTAGGGAATTACCTCAATATAAATTGATAAAAAAACTTTTACCATTAACAAAAAGTTTAAATATTATTTCATACGTTAATTATTCTTGCCATTTTAACTTTTGCATTCAGTATATCTAAAAAGTACTCTAGTATTTTCGCCAAAGCAGTGTAATAGTACTAATATGGGTGATTAAAAAACATTTCAAATGCATACTTTCCATACAGACACATACAGAACAATGTCATTTTTTGTTCATGCATGTTTATGATTCATGATAAGCTTCAAGTCATAGTTTAAGTTAATCTAAAATGATAAGTCCATGTAGTAGAAGATAGTCAACTATTCAACATTATGCACTTTCCATCACAACTACATGGACTTGTCATTTTAGATTAACTTAAACTATAACTTGAAGCTTATTACCATGAATCATAGGCATGAACAAAACATGATATTGTTCTGTATGTGTCTGTATAGAGAGTATGCGTTTGAAAAGTTTTTAATACTACTACACTACTTTAGCGAAAATACTAGAGTACTTTTTAGATGTACTAAATGCAAAAGTTAAAATGCCAAGTAATTCCTGTACGAAATAATATTTGAATTTTTTGTTAATGATAAAAGTGGAGTACCAATTTATATTGAGGTAATTCTCTGGATAAGATTAAAAATCAAATAGTCAACATTTGCCGAGGTCTAACCTATTTTTGGGAAATGGATTAAGGTCAGCTTAAAGTAGGTAACGAATAGAAGATAATTAGAGGTTAATATAGTTTGATAATTGAGAAATTTATACTCTTTTTTTAAGATATTCCGGAACAAAATTTACACTTCACTTTTTCCATTTAAAGATATAGCTCCCAGTTTTTTATTTCTCCAAAACAAATTTTAATTACTCACATTTTATTTTTCAAAACAAATGTTAAGCCATAAACTTCATTGTGGGAAAGACCATTAAACAATTTAACTAGTGATGCCTCTCTTTCTTGACGGCTTGACGCCCACCTGATATGACATTTTCAAGACTGCAAATTTTATAATCTTGCAACACAGTTAAGTGATAAGAATAATAAAATGTCAAATTCATAGTATATATAAACAAAGAAAAATGGGACCAAATAAAAAAACAGGTACACCGTTTTGGAGGGGATACTAATATTTCTAGCTTAAACAACAGTGCTGCATTTGTATCAGACTAAAAAATGACCATCACCAACAATATCAGCAGTTTGGCTTTAAAAACAACATTTTTAAAACATCCATTTAAAAAAAAAAATTAAAGCACAACCCTTGTAAAACAAACAAACAAACACCTTTTTTTAGCATAAAAGTAATAAACTTCAAAACACATTAAGAAATCTTAGTTCTCCAGACACTATGCAGTTCACAAGGAAAACAAAGATCACACTTTCACATGTATCAAGAGTCAAGAAACATTTATATGCAGAAAATGTTGACAGCTTGTTCTTGAGAAAAGATCAATAATTTAATATTACTTCCATGCCTGGCTTTCTCAAGATTAGTTTGGAATAGAGGTTTTCATTTTTTTTTATTTGGTTAGCCTATTTTGATCTATTGTACATATCTTATGCAAACAGCTGGATACAATGAACTCCGAGGGCGGACGACTAAAACAGTAAAAATGAAATACAAGGCATCTAATCTTTGTACATCTAAGAGTAAAAAGTACTCCCTCCGTTTCTTAAAACAATTCCTCTTTCATTTTTTTTGTTTTCCCTAAAACACTTCTACTTTCTATTAAAAAAACTACTTTTACCCCTACTTTTTCTTACCCTACCTATCACATTATACTTTTTCACTAACAATCTACCCATCACATCTTACTTTTATGGTTTTATCCATCACATCAAGGGCAAAATTGGAAAGACAACCACAAATATACACTCCTTATTTCTCCTAAAAGTCAAAATAGGAACCATTTAATGAAACGGAGGGAGTATTAGTTTTCAATTACTGCTTTCACAATTATGTTAACTAAAACAGGTCTCTCATGTTAGTCTGATGTTGAGATGATGGGAGAAATTTACTGTTTTCATGTTTCAAACTGTTCAAGAACTCAATGGTACTTCAAAGCTGTTGGAACTCTGAGTCAAGCAATCTGAAGCTTTCGTTTCAAAGCATAAAGTACAGAACTAGTTCATTAGTTGTAACTTCAGTATTATACTTTGTATCAACTTAAATTGTGTTTCAATGGGAAAAAAAGATGAAAATCAGAACCTAAACTACTAAATTTGACTGGGACTGGGAATTGGCTTTAACATACTCCGTAATTATATACACATGGAACTGTAGAGTGTAGACATTCCAATATCGAACAGAGATCACACACAACTTACTTTAAGAGGTTAACCAAGTGAAAACTCAAACTATATGAGTTTTAAGCTGCTTAATACCGTCGTTTGGAATTCAGATTTTGGATGCATCTTGATCCCATTGCAGGGGAAAAAATATTTACAGCAAAAAACAGAGTTTCACTTGAACAATAATCAAAGTCTCAGAAGGAATCAAAACGCACAAATAAAGATAAATCGAAGCAATCCAAGTGAAGATAAGGTGTCACATAAACCCTTATCTAATCAGAGAAGACGCATAACTCACCTTCCAGCAGCAGCGAGATGAAGAACGTAGAGACGGGCTTTGAAGTGACAGCGATGGCAGCATTCAGGAGGGAGACGAAGATGGGTCTTCACGGATTCTACGCTCTTTGGGAGCTTCTTGGTGCCTCGCCTTCTTGCCGAATAGGCCAAAAGAGTCTTCCTAAATTTGGAAGTGTTACTTCCGTCATATATTCGCTAATTTGGAGGTGAAGAAAGTAAGAAGTGTGACAAAATGAGGAGGTAAATCTTACCTCAGTCTCTCAATGTAAATCGTCACAGCTTCTTTGCCTCTTGGGAGCTTCTTGCCCTTCTCGGTGCTGTTGCCTTCTTACAGAATTGGCTAAAGAGTGTTCCTAAATTTTGGGAGTTACTTCCATCATACATTTGCTAATTTGGAGGTGAAGAAAGGAATCTGACGTAATGAAGAGGTAAATTCTGTCTCAGTTTACCGAAGTAAATTTTACCTTTAGCTACCTAATATTACCCCCTCCCAAACATGCCATTAGATTTTCCTCCACAACGGTGAATGACTAGAATATGTGAAATGGACGCAGAGGTAGCATTCTAGAGATTTAAACTTAAAAACTGCCTTATAGAGTTGTACAAGAAGATAATGCTATAAAACACTGTATAAATTATTGCATGAAAAATCTCGAAGGGAGTTAATTGCATAAGATAGAAACAAGACTTCTATGTTTTCTAAAAGAGGTTGGGACTTGGGAGGCTTTATTGGATAACACAAGAGAGAGAGAGAGAGAGAGAGACCTAAAGATCAATCACTCCTGCTTAGAAACTAAATCAAGCCTGCGTAGTACCAAAATCCGAATAAAACATTCTTATGCACACCATATATCTATGAGCAATGCAAAATGAAAACCATCATCAGCTATGTGCATATTCTAATTAAATAATGTACCTTGAAAGCATTGGAACTTAGAGTGCATTGCAGTTGTGACGTCCCCCTGATAACAATTCTGGAAATTCAAAATCCCCTGGTTTATCGACATTTTGTTGACCATTTTTCACCATTAAACTATGATATTCTTTTGCCTCTAACTGGAAGTTGGCATCACGCCAAAATTTGATTATATGAAGGCTTTCCTCTTCAGTGGACCACTGAAGAATGACTCTTGATGCATAACCCTTCTTTCTCATTTGAAGGCATATCTTAGAGGGGTTATTATCAGAGAGTGTGAGCAGATACAGCCAGCTTCTTTCAGACAGAAGCTTGTCTGCAACAGGCAATATCTTATTGATCACACTCAGACCATTTTCCCCTCCAGCCCAAGCAGAGGTTATTCCTTCACGACCAACTTCCTCTTCGGGAGTAGGAACATAAGGAGGGTTTACGACCAAAACATCCACTAACCCAGCCAACCGTGCCTCCACTCCCAAGGCAATATCAGTATTTACCAAGTCAACATCAACACCATGGGCATCCGCTGTCTCCCGAGTCACCCTCACTGCATGAGGATTTATGTCAGTTGCAATATAAAAGGGCTCAGGCACTTCATTTCGTAGCATGAGTGCTAGAGATGTTATAACGTATCCACTACCGCATCCAACTTCCATACAACATGTGGGCCGGTGATCTGACAAGTTAGCCTGATCAGCCAGTAGCGCATCCACTAATGCAAATGAATCATCGCACGGTTCATACACTTCAGGATGTGAACTCACAAGCTTAATCTTGGCAATTTTGGAAAACATTTGGCTACAGGTTCTGCAAAATAAAATAAAAAATCCATCTGTATGTAACAATGCAGTCTCCTTTGCCTATTTTCAAGTATAACTAAAGGAACAGTAACAAAAACTAAGGGTAGGTTCTGCAGTAAAGCAAAAATGCTAATTGATAAAGTATCTATCCCATTTTTACATTTTACTTTAATACTCTGTATTTAGTCTTTCGTGGTTTCTAATTTTCTATGACTCCAAAATATGCATTGTAAGAGTTGTACTCTATGAATAATCAATAACGATAGCCGTTTTGTGGTTCCCAAAAACAAAAGAAACACAATCAGGTTGATGAACAGAAAATCACAATACAAATTTGCCATTTTTCGTAGAAGCTTTTGCTTATTCTTGGTTTACGCTGCGATTGGATTTATTACCTAACCCTTGTCTTAGAGAGATCCAAGTCCAAGAATACTTTGTAACTGTGCGTGATATAGGGGTCAGTTCCTGTGAGAATGGACCTTGGTGAAAGAAATGAGAACGGTGCATTTTTGTTCACCAATGATGCATTTTTAAAAGTAGGTAGTTCGTCATGGTACATTTTTCAAAGCAGGTAGTGCATTTTACAAAGTTTGATTTAATTATAGGATTGCCACCATGTTTCCCCTAATATTACTTATTTTTCAAATTTTTATGGCCCTTAGATCTCACATTTTAAAGCACCACATGCATTCTCATTTCTGTCATAGGATCTCATTCTCAGCTGAACCAAAATCTGTGTGTGTGTGTATATATATCTTTCAAAATCCAAAAAACTTCCCAGGACTAGGTGCCTAGGTATGACGCGAGGGTAAGGAGACAAAGGTGACGCCTAAGCGAGTGCTTTAACACCTCGAAGGTTTTTGGGCGAGGCAGACGGATAAGGCGTCCACGGCATAGCGCCTTATCGCCTAGGCGAGGCCTTAACAACTATGGTTACTTCTATGCTTTGTTGTGTGCTTTGTATGCTCTGTGCTTTCTCTGCTTTTATGTGCCTTATGTGCTTGTATTTTATCAAGTTCAGCTGTATAGAGTCCCACCAAAAAAGAAGGCATATCCTATCTCTTTTTTTGTCTGCCGGCTAATAATTTTTTTCTTAAGTGAGTTGCAAGTCCTTTTTTTTGTTGTTGTAGATTTTTTACTTCTTAAATGCCATCAATTTCACCAAAAAGTAATGCAATTTTTACCCAATTTCATGTCAATTTCATCTTATATTCACACAATTTTAAGTAAATTTCACCAAAAATGCACTCAATTTCACACAAAGAAATTCAAATTCACCAAAAATTAAATTAAACAAAAATACCTTCACGGCGAAGAGGAAGAAGAGGTCCGGCGGGGGAAGAGAGACGGCTGGCGGGGGAGTACTAGCGGCGTCAATGAGGGGTGGCGACGGCTGGCGGACGGCGCCGCTGGCGCGGCTGGGGAGGACGGCGTGGCTGACGCGGCTGGAGGGTCCGGCGTGGCTGGCGAGGACGTTCGTCGGCGGCGAGGACGGGCGTTGAAGGCTGGCGGAGTGGGGGCGTTCGCAGGACGGCTGACGGGGAGAGAGAATCGGGATAGGGTTGAAGTGAAGGACGAATGGCTGGGATATATCCTGGGACGGATATAAGAGTCCGTCGTAGCAGATTATCAGGTCAAAATTTGGCCAACTTAGGGGTATTGAATTGAGAGTTTGTAGGATTTTTTTAGATTTTTAAAATCTGAATATATTCAATATGGATTTTTAAAAGTTTTTAAAAATCTTGAGGTATTCAATAGAGATTTTACAAAGTCTTTAAAAATATTGAAGTATTCAACTTGGATTCTCAAGAGTCTTTAAAAATTTTAAGGTATTCAAGAATCTATGAATTTTAGTACTCTATGGATTTTGTTGGATTTTCTCTCAAAAAATGCTTCACATTTTACTCCTAGAAATCTCTTCTCACAACCCTAGATTTCTATGGATTTCTTCCCGAGCTATATCCTTAAACCAAAAAGGACAAAAGGTTGCCGTTCGTCGACTGGGTCAAGTTCGTCGGCTGGGTCAACTGGGTTGCCATTCGTCTCTGCTATTTCTCTGCTTGCCACCAGAAGAAAAAATGGACAAAAGTTGAACTCTCGTCATAGCGGAGATCGGAGGTAGGGCTCGAAGATGAACGGGTCGGGTGAGGCGGCGGCATCGGATTGAGGTTTTTTGAGTTCGGGGTTGTTTCCGCCACCTGTTGTTTCCGCCGCCGCATCGAATTGAGGTTTTTCCGCCTTGTCTTGTTCTGATCTGCAATGGTTGTTTCGATGGAGTTTGCACTAATGTAAAGCTTCAAATGGTTGTAGCGGCTGATTTAGATCTGCACTTCCTTGTTCTTAGGCTTTTCTTCTTTTGCTCAATCATCAATGAATGTTTTTTGACTGAAATTTCTTTCATTAGTGCTTTTCTCTTGGCGTGGAGCAATAGGAGCAACATTGATGTTCCAAAATCTACATACTTTTCAAACTCTACATGGATTCTACAAATTTTTCAAATCCACTTACTCTTTGAAATCTAAAAAAATCCTATAAAATCCTAATTGAATACACCCCCCTTAAATTTGCGACAGGCGAAAATAATCCGTTGCTGATTTGCGACGGAAAAATAGGATGCGTAGCAGATTATGCTCATTTCCGTCGTTGATTCGTTGCAGATCTGCTACGGAAATGAGTCCGTAGCAAATTTCCGTTGCGGGAACGATATAACGTTCTCAGCTGGAGTAGAGATTTGTGAAATGACGGTTTCTTAGTTGGCTTTTTGTAATAGGTCCCACGGTCGGCGCCAATTTGATAATATAAAATACCGTGCAAATATGAAGTATAAACGATCGGAAGGGTTGTAGGTGGAAGCACCGGTAACCCAGTTTGTTATTAAGGACAATAGGACTATTACCATACAAAGTACAAGACGTGCAGGTTAATTAAAGCATGCATCACAAATGAGGCTTTTAGGGGTATTTATAATAATCCCTAAGCACGTCAAGCATGTCAACCACGTCTTTGCCTATCCGGCCGGTAAGATCGCTGACCGGTTAGTTTTTATGTCTTCGTCAGAAGAAGCTACGTATTTGGTTCCAGATCTTCTCACCCCGGCCGGTCAGACTGCCCAGGTTGACTTGGCCAGGGGGTGTTGCATTTAAGACCTCCCGGTTGGTCTAACCTACCGGGTGGAATTCATGGGTTATTACCCATCAGAAGTGAAGTTTTGCGTCGCGTATTTACAGAAGCTTCATACTTTACATTACTGTCTCTCATTGTAGCTACCGGGCTTCGAAGTTGAGATCTCTTATATGTAGTACTCTTATGTCAACTGTTGAGCTAAATCTTATGAAATACGATTTTTTTTCAACCGGTTTTGATAGATTCTATTGTCCAGATTCTTGTATGGAGAACCGATGGTTAGGTTCGGTTCTGGTCGAGTTCATAACAGTGGACCGGTCTATAGATTCTACAAGCCCATCGTCTTTAGGAAATGGATCATTGATTTGCCGAGACCGATCACAAGCTCGAGACTTTAATCTTTTTGAAATTTCCATTCTTTCCAATCTTGTACGCGTTCTCTTCATCCGCTTTATCCAATTAATATCAGGTACATCTTCTTTATTCTTGAAATTGGCGTTAAATCTTTACATATCAGATTCAGGCCTCTCACGTATTCATTTCAATTGATGTGCGATTTTCATTCCTGGGTTTCTAGTTTTCATATTGAGTTGAGGATTTTTTCTGTTTTTTATAGGGTTTTCGTTTCATATGTTTTGTTTGGCTGTGTGGGGAATTGGTGAAGTTAACGACTTTGTTTTACTTGATCAGGGGTTTAGGGCGAAGAGAGTACTGTGATTTGAGGAGTCAAGAATGGTGATCTGAATTGTATTTTTTTGGGTATTGGATTGATCTCATTTCTTGACTTGGACTTTGGATATGGAGTTTTTGATCAACTTGAGGAGCTATTGAGTTTAGGGGTTTTGCTTATGTATATTGGATGTTTATGAGTGTTTTGTGAAGAAAGGATGTATAGCAATTTCAAGGAGCAGGCGGTAGCATATGTGAAGCAAGCGGTGGAGGAAGATAATGCCGGGAATTATGCAAAGGCCTTTTCTTTGTATATGAATGCATTGGAGTATTTTAAGACGCATTTGAAGTACGAGAAGAATCCAAAGGTGAAGGAGGCGATTACCCAGAAGTTCACCGAGTATCTGAGGAGGGCTGAAGAGATTCGGGCAGTTCTTGATGAGGGAGGAGGTAGTGGTCCCACGGCAAATGGAGATGCTGCTGTTGCATCACGGCCGAAGACAAAGCCAAAGAATGGTGGAGGAGAAGGAGAGGATTCGGAGAGTTCGAAGTTAAGGGCAGGGCTCAACTCTGCAATAATAAGGGAAAAGCCTAATATTAAGTGGAATGATGTTGCCGGGCTAGAGAGTGCCAAACAGGCATTGCAGGAGGCTGTGATATTACCTGTTAAATTCCCACAGTTCTTCACTGGTTGGTTCTTTGATGTATTCTTCTGCTGCTGCCGGCTGTTTCTTTTTGTTTTTTAATATAAAAAACATATTACAGATTGATCGTGAAAGTTGACAATAATCATTTAATTTTTGAAAAACAAAGATATTTCACAGCTCCTTCATCAACACACACACACACAATATGTCACCAGCTTAAGCACCAATAAATCACTGGAGAGACTAAGGCACCTTAATAAGAATGCAATAACTTCATTTATGTGATTCTTAGCATGCTATCAATGTTTTCTCTCTTTGCATCGACCCTTTTTACCCTTCATTGTACAAGGTTTGGACTTTGGACTGCCTTACCAGTTTCCGTAGTGGTTTTTTTGGATGGCTGACAGGTTGAATCCCTGACCACAGGTGATAGGGTCAATGTGCTAATCACATAGAAACCATTTTGCGCTTATTTATGAATCTTACAGAAGTTGGTCCAGAAATGTTCTATTGTTTGCTCGGTAAAGGAATGAAAAGAAGTCACCTTAATGACTAGCTTTTAGGATTCTCTTTTCAAATGAATGAAACTTTTGGATACCTTATTAGTTACCCAATGGTCATATCGATTACAAATATTTCTTTTCTTTTCTAATGAAAAAGAAGATACTAAGATTGCCATATAATTGGGCTTGATATTTTGTAAAACTTTGAAAAACAAAGGAAAGTTGAGGAAGTAGAATCCTCCTTAATTTTAAAAGTTAACATTTCTAAATCATAATTCATTTGAATAGGAAAGCGGCGACCATGGAGGGCCTTCCTACTCTATGGTCCACCTGGAACAGGAAAATCATATCTAGCAAAAGCTGTTGCTACAGAAGCTGACTCAACCTTCTTCAGGTATAATCCCAGACGATCTTCAATTCCTATTCTCAACTAAACAAAAATATGCTTGTTCTAGAGTATAGTAGTATGTAGTTGGACACGTGTTACGAAAGTTCCTAGCTTTTCCTATATTCTAAAATAAAACTCCTAATGTAGCTCATGATGAGTAACCCACATTTTGGTTGTCTACAATTAGTGCATAGCTGTGAGGTCTTTTGAATGGGTAAGAACAATAAGTTAGGTCCAATTTAACATGGTATCAGAGTTTGGTCTTGGGCCTTTCTGTGTGCGTGGTGCCTATTTACTCAGTGGTTTGGACCAGCCCATTTGTCCACCCTTTTAGTTGTTAGTCTGACTTGGGCAGAGGAGTGCGTTGAGTATCTCACCTAGGCTGTCTATTGGGTTTGAGTCTAGTATATAAGAGTAGGTAATCATTGCCTCCTTAGGATCTTTTTGGTGTGGGTGAGTTTGACCCAATCTAACAGCTCATAAAAGTATAAGTGTATAACAACCGGTTTCTTTTTCAAAAAGATTGTGAAGCCCATATTTTCGTTGGATAGCTAATTTCTCTTATATATCCTTTTCACCTATCTACTAAAAGCTTGAAGGTTTGTTGGCCTTACATCTTTTTTTGAGAATTGACTTTATGTCCTCTCTTTTCAATAAACTGAAGTTCTCAGTGATTCTCTTAATTTATTGTATCTTATCATCTGAAATGGAATTTAATTTATTTATTGTATATAAGCAGTATTTCTTCATCAGACCTTGTTTCAAAATGGATGGGTGAAAGTGAGAAGCTTGTCTCAAATCTATTCCAAATGGCTCGTGAAAGTGCTCCTTCTATTATCTTCGTAGACGAAATTGATTCATTAGTCGGCCAACGAGGTGAGGGTAATGAGAGTGAAGCTTCAAGACGTATCAAAACTGAGCTCCTTGTACAGATGCAGGTATTGTTTTGTATGTATGGGTAATTCTTTTTATTGCTTTTTTCATATGTGCTTAATTTCTTGGGCAGGTTTGAGGAAGAAATCAAAATAATCCAACTATATATTTTCTAAACAAAAATGTGAAAATAAAATAAGTTTTGACAGGTCTGTAGTGATTCTTTCTTCTTTCATCTCATGTGATTACGAGCATAAGCATACAATTTTTTACCTGCTTTGCTAGAGTTAGCCTGTAATCCAAATTCTAGATCTGCATCTCTTTGTAACAAAATCACTCGGGATATGTTTGAATCCAAGAAAATGCAAAGGAATGAAACATATTTAAGGAGAGTTAATTAAAAAAAATCAAAGTTATAAAAATATGGTTGCTTTTAGTTTAAATTTACACGATTTAGATATTTTAATGTATAGATAATAGGCTAAAAATGATTATCAACAAATACAACAAGTTCAACCGCCAAGCCTAAATCCCAATTTAATGGGGCCAGCTACGTGAACCAATAGAAATCTATATAGGTCCCCGCTTTTGGAGTTCTCTTTTTTCATTCTTTTCTATCATGCGCCATACGTTCATAATGTCCCAACACTCTAATGTGCATCGTACACCGTTGATCTATGTCATTTTTGGTCTACTTGCATCTCCGCCACGATCATCATCTCATCAAATTTGTCTTTATGCACAACAATCGGGTCCATATAAAGCCAGTCTTATAACAATCCTACGAATATTTCCCTTTAATCTTAGATACATTTTGAACATATAGTACTGATACTACTGTATCCTGATCACATAGTACTTCTTTTGCTCCTTTCCATTTCAGTCTCTCTCTCTCTCTCTCACACACACACATTCACACACATACACGCACACACCTAAGTTTTCATTATGTTTTTCTCTCTATTATCTTTCCCCAGTATCTTCTGGGATCCAAAAGGACCTTCATTCTCTCTTCCTTTTACTAAGGAACAACAACAAACCGAGTAAGATCCCACATTAGTAGGGTGTGTTTACGCAGACCTTACCTCTAAAGGAAGTAGTAAGGCTGTTTCCAAGAGATCATTGGCTCAAATGCAGAAGCAGACAAAGTAAAAGCTTTTAGTAAGTTAAACTAACAATAATGGAAACTAATACCATGACCCATCTTATCTCAGGCGAAAAGTTATGGCTCTCTTAGGCTATTAGCCTTAGTTGTGTACTTCTTCATAACTACCATTTATATTTTTGTTCTCTCCATGCCCTTTGAACTTGATTATGTGGCATGCATCAGTTGCATACTTTCAGCGATTTACTTGACTTTGTATTGCATTTTAGGGTGTTGGACATAATGATGAAAAGGTTCTTGTTCTTGCGGCAACAAATACTCCTTACGCTCTCGATCAGGCTATTAGGAGGCGTTTTGACAAGAGAATATACATCCCTCTGCCAGATCTGAGGGCAAGGCAACATATGTTTAAGGTACAACAAATACTTGGAGCTCTTTGCCAAGGTCTTTTACACTTTCTTTTTTTCAAGTGGTTGCGGTGAAATGTGAATCTTGAAAGTTGTATAATACGAGTTATCTTTTTTATGTATACACAAACAGGTACATTTGGGAGATACTCCTCACAGCTTAACAGAAAGTGATTTTGAGCAACTGGCGATGAAAACAGACGGGTTTTCAGGTTCTGACATTGCTGTTTGTGTAAGCATCACACTATCAGATACTTATAAGTTACCGATGAGCAATCCAATAATGTAAAACATTGTAAAATGACTAAATTGCCCTCCCATATTTATTTTGATGATGGTAGTTAGTCTGAATTTAAGACTTACTAGCATCACTCTCGATACATCAAATTAGTAACGAATAGTGTCATGTTTTTCAA